TGTGAGGGCCTGGGAAAGGGCCCTACTGTCCCTTCTGTCCCCAGAAAAGTGTTCAGGACATCTGACCACAAGGCCAAGCACAACCCTCTGGCTTCTGAAATCTGTAACATCGTCTTTTGTGGGAAACTGGAGGGGACATGTGTTATGAAGGTGGGCTGGGACTGGAGAGATGGCTCAGTGGGTTAGTGTACCCAGTGCTCTTGCAGAGGACCTGAGGTCACTTCCAAGCTAGGCGGCTCACAGTTGCTGGTAATGCCACCTCTGGGGGGGGTCTGTACTCATGAGCAGAAGCTAACATACGAACTGACACACATGGGCATAATTTAAAACAATTTTCAAAGTTAAATGTGCCCCGAGGGTCAGTAAGACGGCTCACTGGGTCAAGGTATTTGCCTACTGAACTCAGTTCAATTCCTGGAACCCACATAGGAGAGAGAAGGGACTCCTGAAAGATGTCTTTTGACCCCCTCCCCACTGCACCACAACTTCCCTCCCCCGCAAAAAGAATGTGAAAAAATAAAGGGTTCTGAGAAGGTATTGCCCCTTTATCACTCTGTATGGCACCCTCATGGCCACTGCATTTACAAAAACAAAATAGAAAATAAAAACATCAGTTAAACTTTACTTTGAGTAAACTTGAAAGGAAGCTATTTTCTAAGTCCGGCAGAGGATATTTCTGCCACCTGTGATGTCACAGGCTTTAGTCCCAGCCCTGGAGATGACAGGGGGACATAGTGAAACCAGAGGGGGCGGGAGGGAGGGATTCATTCCTGTAATCCAAGCACATGCAGGTTAACCTGAGTTACACATTGTCTCAAAATAGGATACATATGAAAAATTGATGCCAGGCAGTGGTGGCGCACACCTTTAATCCCAGCACTCGGGAGACAGAGGCAGATGGATCTCTGTGAGTTCAAGGCTAGCCTGGTCGACAAGAGCTAGTTCCAGGACAGGCTTGGACAGGCTCAAAAACTACAGAGAAACCTGGTCTCAAGAAAACAAAAACAAAAAATTGTGGTAGAAATTAATTACGAAGAACCTGAGTGCACTAAAAATCTATAGCCATGCATCTTAGCAAATCGGCTCCAGCTGAAACTGAGGCTGGTGACTTGGGTGTCCTTTACTTTAGTGAGCTGCAGCGCAGGTCTGCTTAGCCTTAAGAGCCTGAGATTGACCTCTCAAAGAAGCTCCAGTTGGCAGGTGCGATGTTTGTGTTGCGAATGCACCGGCCTGCCGCGGCATTCTTTCCTTCCAGTACACCTTCCTGTACACCACTCTCTTCCTGAAAGCAAACAGACTTTGATACTGGATTCTCAAGTGTGTCCTGAAGTCTCCCTAAACACAAAAGCATGCACTCTGCTTTAAAAGTAATAGTCCCTATGGTAGTCTGACTGTGTGGTGTAGGTCTGAGAGGAGATCATCAAGTAGCTATGCCCAAACAAAAGTCAGCAGGGAGCCTGCCGGTCCACAGCGAGGTGTGCACCAAGGGCAGGAACGGTTGGTTGCAGAGGCTCCCAACAGAAGGCCTGGTTAACCTGCAACCACACAGAGCAGGGGCCAAGGCGTGTCTCGGCACTTTGTGGTGTACTTGGAACTACACAGCTGAGGGATTAGAAGTTGTTTGCTTGCTCGGTGCAAAACAAGAGGCTTAAAGGAAGTTCAACGGCAACCGAAAGTTGACTCGTGATCTGTAAACCAACTGGCTATGCTTGATGAGCCCCGTGAATTGATAACCTTTTATAGCCAAAAGGTCCTGCAGCCCTGCTAAGCAGCCGCCTGTGACATTCCTGCTTAGTTTTAAGCCTGCCATTTGCCACCGTGGAACCAAAATGAAGGACATTTATCCTGCCCGGTTCTTTTCGAGCACTCCTCTTGAGGAGTCCTCAAGGATTGCAGCTGGTGTTTCTCATGGTTCCTGGGCTGTAACTGTAGAAGCGTAGCCTGGTGGTCACAACACATGACCCAGGGAACTGTCACATACCGACATGCTTCCTGCCACACGACCTTTTTTAGCCCATGGCGCCATTGCCCATCTGCAGCCACCCTTTCTGCAAGAACACCTTTGATTTCCCCAGGGCAAGAGAGAGGTGCACGCTGGCGCTACAGAATGGAAAGCTGGAACCCCCAGGCCTCTCTGCCACGTTATCCTGTAGCTAGGCCAGGTCTTAACGGGTAGGACTTGGTGCTTGTTTATTTTTATTTTTATAAAAGGAGCTATTTTTAAGTGTGAGGCACTTCTTATCTTTGAGTTAGTTCAAACACATTTCCTACCAAGGAGCAGGCGGCGCTGCTAGGATCCAGAGTGTCTCGCGCCGATCACAGCCTGTAAGTGCCGTGGAGGACGCTACCAGGGTGGCCATGCAGGAAGGCTGGGGCTTACGACAAGAGGATTTCCTGAGCTCCGCTAGCATCTGTTCCTCGGGAACCGAGGCCCGGCTTGTGGGGGAGGGGATATGGGTTGAGCCCTGCCCTTGGGGTGGAGGATTTGTAAGATGGAAGCATTCAGAGCTGGCTAGCTCGGTTTGTCAGCTTCTATTTCCTGTCATAAAGCAGTTCCTTGTCTGGGGTTGTAAAGAGCTGACAGCCTGCACACAGGAATATTGCTGGCTTTCCCTGGTGCCATCTTGCCCACTCCTAGCACACGTTCTTTCTCTTTCTTTTTTTTTCTTTTCTTTTTTCCCGTTTTCTTTCTTTCTTTCTTTCTTTCTTTCTTTCTTTCTTCCTTCCTTCCTTCCTTCCTTCCTTCCTTCCTTCCTTCCTTTCTTTCTTTCTGTTTTGGTTTTTGGTTTTTCGAGACAGACTTTCTCTGAGAAGCCTTCCTGTCCTGGAACTCGGCCTGGAGACCAGGTTGGCCTCGAACTCACAGAGATCCTTCTGTCTTTGCTTCCTAAGTGTGTGTGTGTGTGTGTGTGTGTGTGTGTGTGTGTGTGTGTACTCACACGAGCATGCTACCACCTCAGTACTTTTTCTTCACCCACTGACGCCCTAAAGCTGCCCTGTAAACCCGGCACTATGGTCACTCCATATGACAGAGGAGAACGGAATCCCAGAAAGGACATTTGCCCCAAGTCATACAACTGCTCAGTGACACATCTGGGACCACACTCTCATCATAGCGAGAGACTGCCTCCTGAGATTCAGTCTGTAGGTGGCACGTGGGCAGGAAGTACTTCATGCATATCAGAGCATAAAGCATATGTTGCCCAGACCGGAAGCATGGCATCAGCTGGCTTAGCTGCCCAGAGTCACAGGTGACCCTTCCAGGCCTGACAGGACAGTTGTGTCTGTGCTCTGTGGCTTCCACTGGGGATTCAGTGCAGGTCCCCATGGATGTCAGAATCTAGACGCATCTGCACCTTTTCCGTAAGTCTATGTAGTGTTTGCACAGAATCTACACATACCTCCTACATACTTCAACCATCTAGGTACTCTGAGGCCGTGTGATGTCTCTGTGCTGCAGCATGTCCAGAAGAGAGGGGCTGAAGGCTCCAACTGGGCTGACGTCATGGGAAGTCATGTATGTGTCTCTGTACCTCTGTTGTTGTAACAGAACACCTGAAACTGGGCAGGTTATGAAAAACTTTATTCTCCACTCTTCCAGATGTTAAAGAGGCCAACGTGGAGGCCGTCCTGCTGCATCAGCCCGTGGTGGAAGGAAGACAAGGAAGCATGGGAGGGGCAGCAAGACCACTCTTGGGCTAATTAACCCCCAACAGCTATCTATGCTGAGGCAGGCAGGGTCCTAGGGACCTAGCCGCCTCTCGTTAGAGCCCCATCTCTCGGCACTGCTGCCCCAGGAGTCAAGTTTTCAACACATGTGCTTTGAGAGACCCATGTCAATGATCACATCAGATGAATAAAGCAGGCGGGACACGATGCTTGATTGGCTACGCTGAGAGGGCTGAGAAAAAGAACTGAGAAGGCAGACAGTCCACAGGTTGGTAGCTCGAGTGGACAGGCAGATGCTGATGTGACTCACTGGGTTCAAAATTATGGGACAGAGGGTAAAGGTGGGTGGGAGAAATGAATCCCAATGTCCTGTAGCACAGTAGGATGGATAACCAGAGTTTATGCTTCAACATAGCTGAGACCTTGCTAAGGATTTGCAGCACAAGGTGATGAATGACTGAGATGATGGGTATGCTAATTAGCCCAACTCAATCATTTACATAACCTAGATACTTAGTAATATATCACACTGTATTCCACGAGCAGATCCTAGCACTGTAAGCTGAAAATTAAATGAAAGACAATAAGAGCTAGATGTAGCGACTCATGCTTGTAATCCAGCACTTGGGAGTCAAGGCAAGAGGAATGTTGTGAGTTTAAGGCCATCCTGGTTGAGAGTGAGCATCTAGGCTACCTGGACTACAGACTGAGGCCCTGTCTTAATAAAACTAACGAATGAATGAATGAATGAATGAATGGAGGGGGAGCTAGGATGATGCAGGAGACAGCAAAGTTTGAGGTTCCTGCTGGGTGTTTAGAGGTCCAGAAGACCCTGGGCGCTATGTCAGCATTGGGGGAGGGGAGGTTCTGCTGCAGGATGAGTGGTGGGGAGGCAGCCTGGTGGTCTGTGGTGCTGTGGCGAAACTTCACCTGGTTTTGGCTCGAGCACCTCCCAGTAGCTCACTCCAGTGAGAAGAGGTGGCTCTTCAGACTGCAGCCTCCTTCCTCAAGGCCTGGGACGGCGCCCCAATGCAGTTGTGCCACAGAGCCCCGGAGAAGGGTGGGCTTGGAAAGAGCGGGAGGCACAGACTTCTATCGGCCACAGGCTTCCTCTGTAAACCCTGGTCAGAGTCATGAAGACCTTGTTCTTCAGGGTCCAGGCAATCCTTCCTTCCGTCAAGGCTTCTCCAGTGTGCAGGCCAGCTTCCTCCCAGGGTCTCTGGGATGGGTACGAGCACAGGCTTGGCCCAAGCCTGGGAGTTATTTCTGGGCGTCAGAAGTGGGGGTGGGGGGGTTGGTTTGGAAAAGCTAAAAGGAGCCTTCCAGTTCTCAGTTGGTGGGGAACCCCTGCTGGGGGAGACAGGGCCCGGGGCCCTTCTTTAACGGGTGCCATTTTCATTGGGCAGAGTGTTCAAAGTGCCTTCCGCCAGCCTGATGGCACTGCCTGTCCCTCGTGGCATCTCTACATTTTCATCCCCTTTATCCTTGAAGTTAAACAAGTCTGCAGTCGTCCTCAGTCCCGTGCAATAGCAGAGGACACGGGACAGCACTCAAAGCTGTGGGGCCCTTTGGAGGGTGAAACATTGGAGCATTCATTTTCTTTTACACAATCTAAGAGCAATTTTATGAGGAGAAAGTAGACTCCAGAATATGTGGATACAATTTAAAAATCACCGCCAACTGCCCGTGAAAGAAAGATTGAGCTGTCACACCAGGCCACACGGAGTCTCTCTGTGTTTCTGCTAATCTGCGTGAGCCGCCCACACGTGTGTCTTAGCCTATCCGTGTTTGCTCGCAGACAGCAGGCGCAAGTGCCAAAAGGCTAAGGACATTTTCAATGGAATGTTCTGAAGTTGGGACCGTTTTCAGGCAGTAACGTGACATCACCACCCGGAGAGTGGATCGCCACCCTGAGCCGGTGTGCTAGTTAGGCACAAAGTAGAGCCACCGGGAAGAGCAAACACTCACTGAGAAAAATGCCGCCAACAAACTGTCCCCTAGGCAAGTCTGGGGGGGGCATTTTCTTGATTAATGATTAATGTGTGAGGGCCCAGCCCACTGTGGACAGTGCCACCCCAGGCAGGTGATCCTGGACAGTATACGAAAACAGACTGAGTAAGCCAACGGGAGCAAGCTGGGAAGCAGGGTTCTTCCATGGCCTCTGCATCAGCTCCTGCCCCTAGGTTCCTGCTTTGGTTTCCCTTAGTGATGGACGGCAAGCTGTACACTGAAATAAACCCTTTCCTCCCCGAGTTGCTTTTGGTTGTGGTGTTCATCACAGCAGCAGAGAGATCAGATCAGAATGGATGGGGGCAGCAGCCACCACAATGTCATCTGACCTCCGTAGCCGCCACTGTTGGCCCCGCCACCACCCAAGTCCAGCGTGCAAGGTAGGGACAGAATTTGAGAACTAGCGTCTTAAGGATTACGTTGTTTTACACTTTTAACTGTGAGGAAGTGGCTATGCTCCTATCAGCCAAGTGTCCTTTAGGATGGGCTGTGAGAGAGAAGTGTGTCCTTAGGTGACATGGTCCTAAACACCAGAGAACACGTTTGTGCAACCCACAGGGTAGACGCCACTGTATACTGGTGGCGCGCAGCCTACTGGCTCTGTGCTGCCTCTACAGTGCTTACTGAATCGATGACAACCAGGATTTTAACAGAAGAGTAAGTGTTTTCTGTATGGAGACAGAACAGCTCCAGTGAAAATACAAGCAAGCACTGTGGCAGGCAGGGCATTTGCAGGTCAATTAAAATCCTCGGTACCTGGCGCCTGAGGTGGACATGTAGCTCGGGGGATTTGGTCCCTGGCTCCTTCTGTCCTCTCAACTCACACATCCAAAAGCAATCCTTCTAGGGTCAGTTCATAGGTCACTTACCATTTCCTAGCTGTGTGACCCTAGAAACATACTTGACCCCTCTGATCCTCAATGACAACCTATGTAAAGTGGAAAAACAATAATGTCTATTTCACGGGTAAATCTGAGATCCAAGGTTTCAGGAAGGTGTGTGGGAAGCTATCCACATATTCTGATCGATCCAGACTACAAAATGTCCCAAGGCTCAGACTCTTTTTTTTTAATATTTACTTATTTATTATGTATACAATATTCTGTCTATGTGTAGGCCTGCAGGCCAGAAGAGGGCAGTAGGCGGATGGTTGTGAGCCATCATGTGGTTGCTGGGAATTGAACTCAGGACCTTTGGAAGAGCAGGCAATGCTCTTAACTAGTGAGCCATCTCTCCAGTCCCAAGGCTCAGACTCTTTAAACACCTCTGTAAAAGGAATGACGTGGGAGAGGTCGTACAGGACAAGGGGGACAGGGAGCTTGGATAGCTGTGGGAATGTGTACAGTCACTAGAAGGCATAAAAAATTGCAAAGTCAAGGTTCCGAATAAGAAATAGAGCAGAAAATGAGTCGCAATATAGAATGCTGTGAGCAGGTGAGGGGGTGGGAGTTGCAACCGGCAATGGAGAGGAGATGTGTTGGGGGGATTCTGGTCAAGTTCTGAAAGGAAGGAAGGAAGGTAGGAAGGAAGGAAGGAAGGAAGGAAGGAAGGAAGGAAGGAAGGAAGGGTGGGTGGGTGAAGAAACAACGAGTGTGTGCTAAAGGGAAGGAAAGAGCAATGTGTGCAGGAGCCAGCTATGGGGCTGAGCCAGCACAGCCATGTTCATTAGAAAGCCATGTAATCCTGTTACCACACACCCTGAGCCCTTCCTCCAGCCCTCCTGGCTCTGTTGCTAAGGACATGGATTGCCGAGTGGCAGCCACTCCACAGGGTGTCTATGAATGAGAGCCTGTTCCCAGCTCTTTCTAGCTTCTTTCTGGTCGTAGATGCTGAGCTGGGAACAGGAAATGCGTTTTTTCTTCTCCTTGTGTTTTCTGCAATTTGTCTATTAAAAGAGAAATCAAACAAACCTCAAAAGTATGCTGACGCTCAGGAAGATTCTAGACACACTCCCAGGCCAGTTATTCATGGAGACCAGACAAGAAAGGCTGAGCTGCTCCTGCGGACTCTGCCCTCAAGACTCTGGCTTCTCTGAAGGCACTTCAAAGGGGTGTAGAAGCTTTGATTGGAACCCTTGCAAACTGTTGACGGAGCAACAGCAATGGTCTTTCTTCTGGAGAGGGTCTGGGAGAGCGAGCGAGCGGAGGGGACAGGGCTGCCCACAAATCATCCTCCCTCCAGCCTCCTGGGCTGCCCGTGGGTCAGTGGGTGCTAGATAAATCGAAGCCATTCAAATTGGGAGGGCGCTGGAAACAGTCACAGAGGCGAACTCTCAAACCTGCTCTTCCACGACATCTCCGAACTCTATAAAACTGGCTTTCTAGGGCTTTCCCCTCCTGGGAAAAGTTGTTAAATATTCACCAGGCGCCACTGGGTGCAAACAAGATCCAAGAGGAAGCAGCTCTGTTTTGCAAGACACAACACAGAGTTCAGGTAACATGGTGCAGATAGATCCACAGATAAGGTTGTCTTTTGTTTTGTTTTTTGAAATAGGGTTTCTCTGTGTAGAACTGACTGTCCTGGAACTTGCTCTAGAGAGCAGGCTAGCCTCCAGTTTAGAGATTCACTTGCCTCTGCCTCTGGAGTGCTGGGATTAGAAGTGTGGACCACCTCCTCCCAGTCAGATAAGATGGTCTTAAATGGCCTTTCCCTGATGGAAGTTTCTAGAAGGGCTGATCATCATGGGGAGTGACCCACGCATCCCGGGAAAGCGACACGATGCGCCTTTATCATTTATTTTCTTTCATTTTTCACCCCTGGGTGGAGGTCTCTAGTTGCAAAGCCTCTAATATAACATGTGTCTCATGGGTCTGATGGGTTCACAAAGTGAATTTTCTGATATGAAAATTCAGAGCTCCCCCCCCCCATTTCAAACTAGTGGCCTCAGACCATTGTGGTGAAGGTCCCAGAAGACTGAGGCCGCAGCGCAGTGACTGCATTGGTTACTTGTGATCAGAACTGCTGACAGAAGGCTTGGGGTTGGGGTGGGAAGGTTTAGTTTGGCTCGGGGTGTCAGAGCAATTTTGGTCTGTTATGTTGGGGAAGGCAACACGGAACAATTCTGTTCCTGGTGGTGGGAGTGCGTGGTGGCTGCTTGTTCACACAGTGGAAAACAGGAAGTAGAGAACACAGGCTGGAAGGCTGGAGCCAACTGGAACTTTTCTTCTTCTTCTTCTTCTTCTTCTTCTTCTTCTTCTTCTTCTTCTTCTTCTTCTTCTTCTTCTTCTTCTTCT